GGCGGGGGGGCCCCCCCCGAGGCCCCCCCTGGGGGCCCCCCCAGCAAACTTGCCCCCAGGCTTCTCCCGAGAGGGCCCCACTGGGGGCCCCAGGACCCACCCAGATGACTATGGGGGCCCCGGCGGGGGCCACGGGAGCGTACAGGGGCCCCATGGAGATGCTCTGAGCCCGTGGAACGGCGGGGGGACCTTCGGGGGCCCCCATGAGGGCCCCCACGGGGCCCCTCAAGGAGGCCCCAACGGGGGCCCTCACGGGGGCCCCCACGGGGGCCCTCACGGGGGCCCCCATGGGACCTCCCACGGGGCTCCCCATTGGTTCCCTCACGTGGGCTCTCACGGGGGCTCCCACGGGGGCCCTCAGGGGGGCCCCCATGGGGGCCCCCACGGGGGACCCAGTGGAGGGCCTAATGGGGGGCCCCATGGGGGCCCCCACGGGGGGCCCCCTGGGGGCCCCAATGGGGGGCCCCCTGGAGGGCCCCCGGGGGGGCCCCAAGACTTCGGGGGGGAGGGCGAGGGGGAGGCGGGGCTGCTGTCTCGTTCTTGCTGCTCTGTGGGCAGCAGCGGCAGCCACAAGCTGCCGTTTGAGTTTGCTGCTCTTGAGTGCATCTTTTTTGCTGCATTTCAGCAGCTAAATGCAGGTGGGATTCCCTTTTGCTGCTGCCGCAGTTGCTGCTGCCTGCTGCAGCCGCTGCTCTCCTTGCTACTGCCTGTGTCTCTTCTCAATTTCGCTGCTGCTCTTTTGCTCCTGTTCTCTTTGTGGCCTTGTACTGCCCCTCGCTGCTGCTGCTGCTGCTGCACTGGAGTGACCCCGGCCTGAGCACGTCGAACGCGCCCCAAACCCCGAACCCTAAACCCTAAACCCTAGGTCCTGCGTTTGCTGCTGCAGACATTCTTTACCTGGAAGGCAAGTACGGAGAGGCCCAACACAGGACCCGCACTAAGGGAGAACTTTTGTCTCTTTTGATGGAAGACCTCCACGCGCTGAAAGAGCCCATTTCCCTTTACCAAGTAACCCTAAACCCTAAACCCTAAACCCTAGCTCGCGGCGCCAGCGTGCGCGTGAGCGCCCCACAGCCCCCAGAGAGGCCCTCGCGGCCCCGGGGGCCCCTTGGCGGAGAGCCGCCGCAGTTGAGGGTTGAGGGTTTAGGGTTTAGGGTTTAGGGTTTAGGGTTTGTTGGCCTGCGAAGGACCGAGTTGACGCGTTTGATAAGGCCTTTGATGAGCTCATCAGCAACAACACTTATCTCCAAAGGATGGAACTTTCCAAATACGCCAAATACCCCAATCTGTACGACGAGCCCACAGACAAGGCAAGCCCCAAACCCTAAACCCGAAACCCTGATTCGGGGTTTGCGCTGGACGGCTGTGGACGCCCGCCGGGGATCGTGGGGCTTTTTCACTCCACAGCGCTGGCCCTCCGGAGTGCTGCTGCTGCAGTGCTGCTGCTGAAGCGCTGCAGCAGCAAACCGCTGCAGCAGAAGCTCGTGTCGCACCACACAGAAGGGTTCAGGCTTGCATCGTTGCTGGCTGTTGACTTGCTGCTGCTGCTGTTGCTGCTGCTGCTGCTGCTGCCGCGATGCAGGAGGCGGTTAATCCAGATCTTGAGATTCTCCTCGAGTATTTCGACCAAGAAATTGACCAGGCAAGGCCCTAGCGGCGGAGTAGGGTTTAGGGTTTAGGGTTTAGGGTTTAGGATTTAGGGTTTACGGCTTATGAATCGGCGTTTAAGCATCAGCCGTCGACGCCCGACTGCTATACAGTGCTGCCGGTATTGCAGCGCACGCTGCAGGACTCCAGGTCGAGGGTTTAGGGTTTAGGGTTCAGGGTTTAGGGCTTAGGGTTTAGGGTTTAGGGTTTGTTTGCAGTTCAAGATCCGCGTGCGCCACCTGAAGGGTTCCATAGAAGACAGCGAGCGGCTGCTGACTCTGCGTTTGGCTGTAATGCGAAACTCTTTAATTAAATCTGAATTAGCTGCCACTTTGTTGGCTGCGGGACTGGCTGTGGGCACTTCCATTTCAGGCACGCGCCAAACCCTAAACCCTAAACCCTAGTGGCCCTAAGGCGGGCAGTGCGCAGTGCGCAGGACGGCCTTTCTGCGGCCGCGGGGCCTTTGCAGCAGCAGCAGCAGCTTGGACTTGCCTGGGTGTCGCGCTGCAACGCTTCGCTCGAGGGTTTAGGGTTTAGGGTTTAGGGTTTACGGTGTGCGCGTGTGGCGCCTCAGGGATATTCGGAATGAATTTGCAAAATGGAAACGAAGAAGGCAGCAGCAGCCACGCAGTGTTTATTTTGGTGTCTTCTGTAATTGCCTTTACTGCTGTTTTGTCGCTTTTGGCGGTCCTTTATCTCGTGAAGACTATCAGGCTCTAGTTACTGCTGCTGCTGCAGCAGCAGCCGCTGCAGCAGCTGCAGCAGCAGCAGCAGCGGCGGGAGCG